CTTGGGCAAATTCAAGAGGAGGTTGGATGATCACCTGTCTGGGGTCTTGTGAACCCAGCATTCAGGGGGTCAGGCTAGATGAGGAACCCCACCATTCTTCCCTGCCTGGGGCAGGGGGTCAGGCTAGATGACCTGTTCAGGTCTCTCCTGACCCTAGCTACTATGAAACTTCAAAACCAAAAAAGGGGAAAAACAGCTGAAAACTGGAAACTTTCAACCAAAAACTGCTACCAGCCTTTCCCGCCCCCCCCCCTTTTGTTTTTTGGAGTTCTGATGCACAAATAAATAATAATAACATTTTTTAAATGAGGAAGGCAGATGCTTTATGAGAGAACCTATTATGCTTTACTGAAAACCCATTTTTTCCATTTGGGAAAGAAAAGTTTTGGGGATGAATATTTAACCAGCTACATTCTGCCAGGTGTATGCCATTGGGAAATCAGGCTCTGTAGTGTTTAACTCCATGCTAAGTGTGTGGGCCGTCTCCAGATCCCATCCTCGTCGCCATGTGCGGGCGGCGGGGAGCGATCTGGGCCCTTCTTTGCGCCGCGCGAGCTGTGGCCAGCAGCCCGGGCTCGCTGGGTCGGAGAGAACAGGCGACACGCTGGAATTAGGCACGGACGCGTAATGGTTGATTCAAGATTGTTTACTTACACCGAAGATGGTCGCGGTGTAGGCTGGACAGTTTCCCAGGCACAGCTCTGCTTAAATCCTCGTTTGAGGACTCAGAAGGCTAGAGGCTGATCAGACCCCTGTTGCCTGCTTTAAATGCGCTGGGTCCGATAGGCTCCGCAGCGCTTAGAGATCTTCACACAGCGTGAAGTCTCCTCCTCCTGGTGTTCGTGGAGTCCTCCCTTAGGGGGTTCTCCTCGGAGTTCTCCAACTTGGGCGGAAACCACCCAAGCCTTTTATACGGCTAGCAAGCCAATAACTAGCCGCCACGTGTGAATAATTTAACGCAAGCCAATAATGGGACTCGAATTAGAATACAAATGGCAGGAACTCTTTGCAACGAGCATTTCTGTGCTGCAACAAGAAATGCACCCTGCAAAGAAAGCTACAATTTGGCAGGAAAATAATTCAGTGGTGCCAAAGCACACACAAAAACAAAAATCACACCCTTTGGGTTGTGACACTAAGATCAAAGCCACACACACCTTGAAGCTTGTGTCTCAAGATCTCTATATTCACCTTCAATGGCTGACATCAGATGTCTCTGAAAGTAGCTGGTTGGGCTACGCACTGCTGAATCAAATTGTGCCAAAGGCTTTTTCATTACTAGAAATTTTGCAACCCATCTGGTGCCATTTCCCTTTGGCTGCTCCAATGACAGGGAGCAGAGGCTGTGCTGAGGAAGAACAGCAGTCTTCCACATGGGCAGTAACAGCTGCCTAGAGCAGATAGGCCAGCCATTAGCAAATTGTGGATGAGACTGGATCAAACTAAGGGAATTGGTGCGCCCCTAGAAAAAAAGAGATGGAACTGGACCTTTGCAGGCTGGATCCAATCCCTTTGTAGGTCTGCTCCAAACCATGGACCATAGGCAGCTGATCTCTGCATTAAAATGGTTGCAGTATTTGACTGTTCAGACATATTGTTCCTGGCTCTCTGGAAATTTAGGCAAGTACTATATGTTATTTATATTACATGTTTGAAAGGTTTTCTTTGCAACCATAATGACCAAATTTTTCTTAGACGAAATTGGATACTTTGGAGGTCAGTTCTGAGGTCTGTCAATGACCCACTAGGCCAAATGAGAGCTCTCTATGCTTTGGAAAATGAATGCTCTCTTTTAGTATAACTGAAACTGAAAACTAATCCTGATGGCATAAAGGCTACACTTTTACCAGTGAACCTGAAGGGAGCGTCACTTTGGTCAAGCTAAAGTAAATTAGTGTCAGCTGGACGTTGTTCTTTACATATTCTACAGGCTATAATGCTGTAACATATTATATATACACACCAAAGGTGTATTCATTATTTTACACACAAATATTTGGTTTGCTTATTAAGCTTAATTAATCTAGTCCATTGTTTTCATGCTTATTGGCTCTGTGTAATTAAAGAAGGGTGGTTTTGTTGGAAGTGTTCAAGAAAAGTGTCTAAACTAAAAAAACAACAAAAGAAAGCTAGTTTTACTGGCTAATCTAAAATAGACACTTCAATTCACATCCATATCTGTTCAAATAAAATGTTAAAGGTGGGGAGGAGCTTCTGGGATGAGAACGTATACTTTAAATGTCAGTTCAATCCATATTAAAACAGATCAGTCACAGATTTTGGCATTAAAGGGTTACAATGGAAGTGAAAACAGACAGTACAGATATAAACTTTATTTTACTTACTGCCACAGTACCATAGGCCACACTTAGGAGGAACTAAGTCATCAGGAGACTTCTATTAATTTTGGGACGTTGAAAGGACTATGAAAAGGCTAACAGTATTAACAAACATTTCCAACTGTGCTTTTAAAACCATGAGTGATAAATTATGGATACAAGAGTTTATTTTAAAAGTGCCCTGAAAAGCAATCTTTGCATTATTGATGATTGGTATCTCTAGTTGAGTCTTGGAAAATTTCAGCTCCTGAAGTTTCCGCTAGTTCTCTGCCCAGCTGCATGGGGTCCAGTTAAAAACTAAAATATTCAACAAACGTCTTCCTTTTTCCATGAAAAGCAGCTACTGAAGTGATATCATGGTTGATTTGGCATGCTGTGAATATTTACAGAAATAGAATTGGTCTTCCAAGTGAAAATATTGGAGGATTCTCCCCTCTATTCATATGCACCCTTAAAAAGCTATTCCATCATTAAACTATCTTGTCGTGCATAGTACGTTGTCCTCAGTATACCAGAATATATTTTGCATTAGATTAATTTCACAGCAGAAGGAAGACTTTTTTCTTGTTTAAGGCTTAATAATTTCCTGACTTGACTCATCACTTTCTCTCACATCACATAATTCTACCCATTTATTTCAGACACAGCCATGCTGCAAATAACATCTTTCGGCCATAATATTCTCTGTTTCTTAAAAACCAGATTATGGCTTTTCTGCAAGACTTCTATATATGGGGCAGCACATAGCTTGGACCACCCTAGAAGTAGTATATGAGAGGAACTGTTTTCTTTTCCTTTTTGCCTCAGGGAGGGGGGGGGGGAGATATTAATTTGCATTTGGCATATGACTGTGGCTAGCCAGCGCATCGTGGGATGGAGCCAGTGGTCCAGCTATTCCCTAAATTTCTGCTGGGAGGAGATAGCCTCAGCCTGTGCACACACAGCTCCAAGTGACAATTTATTCTTGAATGTTTCAGGATTCTGTACGTGGCAGACGGGTGGTAACAGATTTGTCATCTCTTATAAGGAGCTCATCTCCTTCACTTACCACCCTCACTTATTTTCCTCTTCAAACTATTGTATTGTATCCTAAACTCGGCCTCCTGCAGGTGACTTAAAAAAAATCTGTATCGAGGGCCTGGTTTTTGGGCTGGCCCTCAGCACAGGGTGAACAACACCCATTTCCAATAGCTCTAATAGAGCTTAATCATGACACATTGGATCATAGGTGTTGTGTAGAGCTGAAGACTGCCTGGATTCGGAGGAGTTTAAGAAGGAATTCTGAATCAGGGAGGTAGACCTCTTGTAGAGGTCCTCATGTGTTACCCACTGGCTATGTGAGCGGCCTTGCTGACTTGTGCACAAGGACCTGTGCCCACCCTCCCTAGCTGGTTCCTCACCTTGAGGGTGTCGAGGGAGAGAAGGCCGTGTTGCTGTTTCTGGTTGATGTCAAGCCTAGAAAAAATTTCCCTTTTGTATGCACCCCTGGACAAGCCACTTAGAATCTGACCCCTAATCTTTCCTCATAAATCAGTCTTATCAGTGCCATTAATCAAAGTGATGTAAGTTCAACAAAGTGTATAACCTTTTTGCATTTTATTGTTAATAATGACCAAGAGCCTGATTTATTCCAAGTAATTTGATGGCTTAAAAAGACTGATGATATCCAGATTGTACTTTGTCACTCAGTTTATCTGCTTAGATTCTGCTCAACATGTTTTTAAATCATATCTACTTTCCATATGGAGTCCTGTTTGTTTTTTTTTTAACCTGCATTTGCAGTGCAGAGCTAATGTGACTATGGGCATGTGGTCTGGATTCAGTTTTGCTTTGTGACGACAAAACTTTCACCTAAGTTTCCATGCAGAATCTTTCTTACTAATGATGATAATAGCCAGGAAGAGCATAGATTCATTTTTCTAATCCTAGATTGAGATGGAAGCCCTGAGGATTAGAAAATCGTCTCTGACTGAGTGAATCTGATACTGGAAGCATTCAGAGAGTCAGGCTGGATCACGATTGTACCTTGTCTAAGTTAAACTACATAGTGATGAGTTCTGACTGAATTTTATTCAAAGATTCTTCCTGAAAATTAATCTTCATTCCTTAAATGCATTTGTTCAAGTTGAAACTATGTTTCCAGTGAATATTCCTAAAAAAAAATTATTGATTAGCTATGTGCATCAGGTTTACAATATTTACAATATGGAAATAATCCCAAATATTTGCTGGCAGTGAATCTGACCCCAGGGTCCCTAATACCAAATCTAGTTAAAAAAAGATGTGCTGTTTATTCAGCATGGCAGATGTGTGCACTTGTGTATCAAATGTGTAATTAAAATGGATTAAATTAGGATTGTATCAATAAGAACCCATTTGGTCAGGAGTTGCGTGTATATTCTGTTCTTTTCTCCAATTGAAATTAGTATATACTCTGTATGAATGTTGTAAAGATGGGGATCCTACTAAGAAAAGACAAAGATGGATATAATGCCAGGAACAGAAAATATGTCATTTCCATAAAAATTATAAGTGGGTTTTATTTTAAATTGCCAAATAGGAGCCTGGAAAAAATGTTGTATGAAATCCTTCTGTTTTTCTGTCTGTGTAATTACTATTCTGTAGTTGGTCCAACATAACTTGATTATATTATGTTTACAGGGCTGTTGCTGGAGTTGATGGAGATCCTGATTTGGTTCATATGGAAATTCAGGACCCCAGTGGAGGTATGCAAATGACAGCGTTGGCAATGGTATCCTAATATATTGTTGCTTCTTTTTATTTTAAAGAATACTTTTTATAGACACTTAAAACTGGTGGGAAGATGCATTTTCCACATGTCAGATTCTTGCTGTATTTATCTGTATTCTGCAAAGCTGTCCTGTTATATATAGAAATGTAGTATAATTTAAAATTTACTTGTTTTCCACTCTGAGGCAAATTGAAGTCAAGATGATATGCTCCAGTGAAAAAGTCCATTAATAGTGCAATTTGTTCTGGCACTTAAACATTGAACATTTTTTCCTGATTTGCAAATAGAGCTGGCAGTGCAATGTAGTGCTGGGTGAGTGTCTGTTAGAATGAATCCCTGCATATGTCAGTTCTACTGAACTAACCATCTTTCCCCAGAAATTGCTTATGTTGCAAATTCAGCATAATTTGTTTGGGGTTTTTAAATACAGATTAGCAGCCAGAACATGTTATACCAAGTGGATACCACAATCACAATGTTTATGCGACTCTTCTTAGAAAGAAGACGGAAAGATTATTTCATTCCTTAAATGATCATCCTATGTACAATTATAATTGTTAAAGAGGTAGAGCATGAATTTCCAAAATGCACCTGTCTGCCTATTTTGCCAGATGCTTAAGCATATGTGGCCTCCTGGCCCAAAAAGTATGCTTTTTGCCTCAGGAAAGTGAACCTATTCCATCTGGGAAGGTGTATAATTTCTCAGTTCTCTCAAAAGGCAGCCTTATGTGCATCTAAAGCAAGAGTGGGCCAAAATATGGTCTGTAGGACACGTCCATCCCACCAACTGATTGGATCTGGTCCATGGGCTGGTGCCAAACAATTGATTGGAACTGGCCCGCAGCTGTTCCCACAGCGTTTCACATGGGCCTGAGCCCTGCCTGCTCCAGCTCAGGGCAGCCCACACCGTGCTCCCACCTGAAGTCCCTGGCCCCGGCCACAGTCAGTGTGTACGGCCTCCCAGCAGGACTGCTCCCAGTGTGGCTGCAGCTGCCCGGGTACTGCTCAGCTATGCCTGCCTCAAGCAGCTCCTTCTCCCCCTGCCTCTGCAGTTAGGGTTACCATATTTCCAGGTCCAAAAAAGAGGACACCTGTGAGGTGGTAAGGGGAATATGATGGTGGGGGGGCAGTGACAAGCCAGTGCCCTGCTCCTGCCCATTCTGCTGCCCCTCACTCCGGACCCACTGACCCCAGCCCTGCCAGTGCCCCTCACTCCCAAACTGCAGTACCCTGCCCCCTACCCCTTGTTGGTGCCCCTCTCTCCTGACCTGCAGCCCCCTGGTGCTGCCAGTGCCCTGCACACCCAACCCACAGTCACTCATCCCATCCCCTGTGCCCTTCACTTCTGATCCGCAGCCTCCTTCGCCCCTCCCAGGCCTGCTGGTGCCCCTCACTCCAAACCTGCAGCCCCCTGCCCTGCCACTCTGCCATGCTGGTGCCCCTCACTCCCGACCTGCAGATCCCTGCCCCCACCAGCCTTGCTGCCCAAGCAGCTCCCCATTGTGCACGCACCCTCTCTCTCTACCTGGTTGCCAGAGCCCACGTGGGGAGCACATGACTCCCAGCAGACCATCACCTTGCCTGCTGTTCCCAGCCCCAAGCAGCCAGCCTGGGAGAGCAGAAAACCGAGACATTTGCTCTTATTTCAAAAACCCGCCCAGACACAGCACAGAGGTCCAAAAAAGAAGACATGTCTGGAAAACCCAGATGTGTGGTAACCCTACCCTTGCTACGCTGCTCAGGGCAGGGGAAGCTGCAGCCAGGTGGCTCCTGTTTCAGTGCATGGGGCTCCAGCTCTCTCTCCTAGTCACCTTCCACCCCCACTCTATCTGCCTGGCACAATGAGCAGCCACCTGCAGGTGGCTGAGTAGGTGAAAGGCAGCCAAGAATGATGACTAGTGAATCCATATAGCAGAAAATTAATTTGTTCCCCCAAACCTACTGTATCTTACAACTCTTTGGTGTGGTGACATTACTACTTCTCAAGATACTGGATCTATGAAGATCTGGCATAAACCTGAAAAGGACCCTGGCAAAGCCTCTTTTTTCCTTCTGGAGAATAATTCCAGTTACTTCTAGGGGTCTCCACAGTTTTAAAAAAAAGGCATCATTTGCCCCTTTGTTTTGCTTGGTTTAAATTAGACACGAGCTATGCTGGGCAGTTCAGTTAATACCTCTGTATGCATTCAGGAAGAAGGTAGAGCAGGGTGGCACCTTAGAGACTAAAAAGCTCAGAGGCGCATGAGCTTTTCATGCTCATGATGCCATAGCCTCTGATGAAGTAGGTAGCTCATGAAGGTTCATGCCTCTCTAACCCAATTAATTTCTAGGGTATTACCTTGCCCTACCTTCTGCTTGACTTCATACTAGCTTGGCTAACCTTCTCTCTATACATGCATGCAGACATGATAATGATAATAGCCATTTTCAAAATTCACATGTGGATTTTGAATTTGAAAACCCCAAAGCTAGGGACAGACATTCAAAAAGCCCGAGACTGAAGTGATCAGAGCTTTGCAGGTTAATCTAACCTGCCTAGATTGAACCAATTTGCAAGTGAACAGACATTCCTTCTGGACTGAGGAGGAAATGTGGGCACATGCCAGCAGTGGCACATGCCAGCAGTGGCTCAGGCCAGGAGCCGGAGGGCACTAGAGCAGCCCTCGGCCGCAGGGAAACTGCGGTGGCCTGAAGTGAACTGGTCAAGCAGGGGGTTTAATTCCTGCCTCCATGTCCCACAGATCCAAGCGGAGATCCACCTGGTGCACCCCCTCACTGCCACAGCAGCCCCCGGGGGACTGACTCTGGCTGCCACCAATTGCTCTCTGTGCAGGGTGAGCAGCAGAATAAGCACCCTCCCTGCCCGCTCACCTAAGGGGGCCATGCCAGCTGTGCCCCCACCCTTGTGCAGGGCAAGTAGTGGTGGTGCTAGGTGGGGCTTGGGGAGCTATGAAGCCTGAGTCTGAATTGATTCAGTCTTTGCAGGTTAATCTAACCTGCAGAGAGTGAACCGGTTTGTAAGTGGATAGGTGTTTGGCACATGCCTGCAGTGGCTAAAGCCAAAAGCCTGGGGGTGCTAGAGCAGCCCTCCCTTCCACAGGGAAGCTGAGCTGTGGGGGTGGGGGCATAGCCATGCCCTAGCAGGCCCACCCCAGCGGCTCCCTGACAGCCAGGATTCCCGGGACGCAGGGCTGCTCAGCCTCGGAGGGGAACTCTTCCCCCTTCTTCCTCTCCCCCACCACCACGGGGCCAGGAGGGGGGCCCTGTTTGGTGCTGTCGGATTCTTCTGCCTCCTCCTGCCCCCCCCCCCAGTGGAGTGGAAGGGGGGCTCTGTGAGGCTGCCTGGCCCCAGAGGTGGACTCTTTCCTGCTTCTCCCCCATTGCTGCGGGGTGGGGAGGGAGGTATCTATGGGATGCTGCCCAACCCCAGCGGGGGACTCTTCCACCCACTCTTCTGCGCGCCCGCCTCCCCCCCGCCACCAGGGCAGGGGGAGACTCTGTTCCATGCTGGAAGGAACTCTTCCCCCTCTTCTTCCTCCCCCCAGAGCGGCAGCAGGAGTACAGAGCTCAGCTGGGCAGGGTGTGGCTGTGGGGGATGTGAGGGAGGGTGGGGGGTGTAGGGACCCTCACACTCCCCACATGGCATGCAGCCCCTGTCCCACTGCCTGGCAGCAGCAGTAGGCAGGGAGATCAGGGTGCTCGTGCCTGGCACAGGTGTGGCTCCAGCCAGTGCTGCGGGTGGGGAGGGAGCGGAGCCTGTCTTATCCCCACAGCTCTGCTACCTGAGCCTGCAGCTCCAGCACTTGCAGGCGGGGAAGCCCTGCATTGGAGCCAGCTGCTTCCCCTGTTCCCTGCCATGCAGGTCCCAGCACTGTGCTGGGATTGGAGAGAGTCCTGCCCCCTGCTTCCCAGTGGAGTCCAGCGCAGGGCTTGCCCTCTGTGAGTGTGCACCTGCAAGCGCACGGTGTGGAGCCCCAGGGATAGAAGTAGCTGGGCAAGTTCTATCCTACAGCATTTAATAAGGAATTATAAGAATCATACAGCCTATGGAATTAGAAGAATTCTACAGCATTTAATATAGAATTATGCAATCTCATCAGAACTTTGAAAGCGACCTTCATGATTCTAGAGCAGAGATATTTCATCCATTACGCAGGCCTTATTCTTCTAATTTACTCAGTCTTACACTAGAGGAACTCCTTTACTATCATTAATAGTATTTTAGATTTCCACTGCTGATAATAAATTTGGCCTCATGTGCAGGTCAAGCAAGGAGACAAGCTCTTTTCCTGGCCTTTGCTTGCGTATGCCTCTACAGTGACCAGTGAACAATTAGTTGTTAAGTTCTTTGGGCCTCAGTTTCCCTGCCTCTGAGATGAGAAGAATACCTGCCTACTTCTCAGGAATGGAGTGAGGATTAAGAGATTAACATTTTATAGGAGGGTTAAGTTTAATTATTCTCAACTGAATATAAGGGTGATACTTTTTGAAATCCTGTTCTTATGGAAAATGTTTGCTTCTTTTATTTTGAAAAGCCTATAAATATGTCTCTCTCTCCATCTTCAGGTTATTGTTATATCACCTGTCAAATTCAGAATTGTTCTGATAAAACAATGACAGTCCTGTTTACTGGCAGCATTGACCGGGATTCCCTGACTGTGCAGGATGACTACATATTCCTTCAGGTAATGTCCCCTACTGAAGAGGCAATTCCAACTTCAACTCAGAAATTGTGATGTTTTAAATCCTACAACAAAACAGTGGAATGAGGCCCCAAAGAATTGCATTGTAAACATAGCTTATGAATCTTGATATAATTCCTGGCATTCCACAGCAATCCTATCCAAAACAGTGTGCTGGAGCTTCAACAAACCATGTTCTTGTATCTCCTTAGATTCTGATGTAATTACATACCGTTTCATTTCTCAAGTATTAATTTGGACAGTACGGGCACCTATACATGCGCGTTCTAATTAGAACGCATTGCATCAGACTTGATTAATCAAGTCTGCCTGAGTGTACTAATTAGCATGCTCCAGCAGCCTTAGAGTCGCATGTATTTAGCATCCCCATGCTTCCAAATGGTGCTGAGGGTGCTTTAACTAAAGCTCATTGAACAAACTGTAGTTATAGGGCCCCCTCTGCCATTTTGAAGTGTGGGATGCTGAATACATGAGATGCTCAAGGTGCTTTACTTAAAGCACTCCCAAGAGCCACTTTAATTAAAGCTCCCCCCCCCACCAAGCCCTGGAGTATGTGTAAAGATGTTCTATGGGCCAAATTTTATTCCATTAACAGTCTGGTAAGTTAGTCAGAATTTAGCCTTGGGGTCAGTTCCTTAGACTCTATTTTGTCTTTCTTTCACTACATCCTTAGCACAAATTGTCCAGAAAGCTACCCAAGGAATTTTTTGGATATCTAAAAGTCTGTGTGGCCAACTCTTCAAAAGTCAGTGTGGCCAACTCTTCAACCTGTTTCTGGCACAGATGGATATTGACAGTGATACTGAAGCGAGCAGCACCACAGCCAGTCCTCAGCCAGTAGAGTGACTGCTGTGTCTGTCTGGAACCACTTCAGCAAGTTAGAGCAGCACCTAGGTTGCCTATTCCAACTCAAAGATCTTTATAGGACAGTTTTTATACCCTGTTCCCTATTTAGACATGCAGTGAAAAGCCACAGTTTGGTCCTTACTTATATGTTGGGTGTTTATTGCAAGGTTTGCGTTTTGTCTCTTTAAGGTAAGCAATTTTGTGTTTTCTAAAATGGTGACAGTGGACCTCTCTACTCCACTGCTTTGACGTGCATTAGATTAGCTTTTTCACAGCTTTTATGACTAGTTCCTTTCCAAGGGATTTGCAAATTAACACAGAGCATAGCAGTCTGGAGGTTCATGTGGCATGAAACATTTAGCACTACAAACAAGGTGCAAAATAGATTTGGAAATGAAATTTTGAATTATAATGGGCATTTTGCATCCCATGCCTAGCACTGGCAGGGGCCATTTTGCTCAAAGGTGATATTACTTTTGTCTCCCAACAAGCACATCTTAAAATCCATTTCACAGTTTGTAGATGGTGAGAAATGCTTCTCACCTTGTGAACCTCCAAACTACTGTGATCAGCAAAACAGACAGATTTATTTTCAAGTATCTATGTTCTGTTAAGACATTCTACGTAGTTGTAGGCAGTAGTATTGTCTTGTTCTGATACCAGGCTCGGGAAGCAGAGGTATAGCAACACAGCTTCATGTCTGGGACAGAACTGCTCCTGCCATGCTGACTGAGGCAGTACGATCAGCCACCTCTGTGGTAATGGCTGCTTTTGTGTCCCCCAACAAAGGTGGCACCTGGGGCTGCTGCCCCAGCCACTTCCTCTCAGTTACACTACTGTTGCAGAGACCCATAACATAAAAATGATTTAGAAACTTGCTCATAACACTTGAATGGCAAGAGAAGTCTACTACCAATAGAGTTCAGCTCTTAACTGTTTACTTTCATTGCACTGTGAATGTGACCTTTAATGGTGCTAGTAGAAGAGAAGTGCATATACTCTACAGGAGAGGTTGGCAAGCCTTTTCACTTTTCCCTTTCGCAGAGTAGATTCAAAATGACTACACAATGAGTAATGGGGCATCAGATATCAAATTTAGATGCAAATAGCTAAAGCGTGTAGACATGCTGAAGCACATTAACTCTGTGCATGTTGACTGACTTGGGACTTACTTCAGTCCCAAGTCAGTCTGCATGCCGTGTTAATGTGCATTAGCATGTGCATGTGTAGACACATGTAAGTTGCCTTAATGTGCATTAGGCAAATGCACATTAAGTTTAGGCATGCGTAAAAGTACATGTAGATACGCCCAGTGAGGAGCGTTGTTGAGGTCCTGGTGGATGGGGAGACACTTGTTTTCCTTAATTCACTGGACTTCCTGTAGAGTTGCTGCCTCACAATGAATGGGTGGAGGAGTGATGTGTGACAGCATGGGCAGCCAAGGTGTTTGAGCTGACTTGAGGGCTCCGTTTTGCAGAATTCAGTTGGATGTCAACAAGTCAAGTGTGACTGCTTCTGGGTGATACCGGTGCACAGTACATGGCTACGGAGTATGCAAGGGCCAGTGCTGATGCCCATAATACTGATGCTCCCCAGCTCGTGTCTGCCAATTTCTGGACCAAACTGAGATAGCTGGGGGAGGATTGAGGAGGGACTTGGTTCCCTGGGGCTGCCAGCCAATCTGCTCTGACCTGTGCCCTTGGCTGCTGTCACCTGTCTTTAGGGAGCCTGCAGACAAGCTGGGATGCTTGCTCTGGGGTCCCCCTGGGTGCCCTCTGCAATGCAGTCTGTCTGCATAGAAAGCAGATGGCCCTTTGAATGCTTTTCCATAGTATAAATGGTAGGATTTTTAACTGCTCAAACTAAGCTACTGAATTTCCACTGGTTTATTTGAATGCTTGTGTACAGTTCTTGATTCCCATTGTCTTCTCATTCCCTTCCCTTCCTTCCTGCCTCATGGTTCCCTATTGGAAAGAGGATCAGTGCTGCAGTTCACCCTGGATCAAAGTGCTGAAGTGGAAGCATGTAAAGACAAGTTCATAGATTCATAGATGCTAGAGTCAGAAGGGTCCTCAATGGATCATCAAGTCCAACCCCCTGCCCATGGCAGGAAAAAGTGCTGGGGTCATGTGACCCAAACCATGTGCTTGTTCAGTCTCTTCTTGAAGATCCTCAAGGTAGGGGAGAACACCACCTCCATTGGAAGCCCATTTCAGATTCTGGCAACCCTAACTGTGAAGTTCTTTCTTATGTCCAACCTAAAACTACTCTCTATCAGCTTGTGGCCATTGTTCCTGGTTATTCTAAGGGGTGCCCTGGTTAACACAGCATCTCCTATTCCCTGCTGCACCCTCGCCCTCCCCCAGTGAGTTTGTAAACTGCCACAATATCCCCCCTCAGCCTTCTCTTGTGGAGGCTGAAAAGGTCCAGATCCCTCAGTCTTTCCTCATAGGGCCCTGCAGGCCTCTAACCATATGAATGGCCCTCCTCTAAACCCTCTCACGGTTGTCCACATCCCTCTTGAACTGCGTTGCCCAAAATTGGATATGGTACTCCAGCTGTGGCCTGACCAGTGCCACATAGAGGGGAAGCATCACCTCCCTGGACCGGTTCATGATGCACCTACTAATGCATGAAAGTTGCCAGCCACTTGTAGGGTGTGCTGCTGCAGCAGCATGGAAGATGTTGGAATTAATCTCCCTTCTTCATCTCTCTGAGGTCTCTTACATCTCTCATCTCATATTCTGGCACTCTATCCTCCCTTATCCCACAATGAATCTCATGAGGCTCAACAAGGACAAGTGCAAAGTCGTGCAGAGAGGGTGGAACAATCCCATGCACCCGTGCAGGCTGGGGACTGACTGGCTGGGCAGCAGCTCTGCAGAAAAAGACCTGGGGGTTACACTGTACAATAAGCTGAATATGAGTCAGCAGTGTGCCCTTGTTGCTAAGAAGGCTAATGGCATACTGGGATGCATTGGTAGGTGTGTTGCCAGAAGGTCAAGGCAAGTGATTATTCCCCCCTATTCAGCGTTAGTGAGGCCACATCTGGAGTACTGTTTTCAGTTTTGGGCTTCCCACTACAGAAAGGATGTGGACAAACTGGAGACAGTCCAGTGGAGGGTGACAAAAATCGTGAGGGGGCTGGGGGACATGACTTATGAGGGAACTGGGCTTCTTTAGTTTAGAGCAGAGACTGAGAGAGGATATAATAGGAGTCTTCAAGTACCTGAAGCGGGGTTCAAAAGAGGATGGAGCTAGGACTGTTTTCAGTGGTGGCAGATGACAGAAAAAGGAGCAATGGTCTCAAGTTGCAGCAAGGGAAGTTTAGGTTAGATATTAGGAAGAATTTTCTCACTAGGATGGTAGTAAACACTGGAACCGGTTACCCGGAGAGGTTGTAGAAGATCCATCCTTGGGGGTTTTCTAAACCCAACTAGACAAAGCCTTGGCTGGGATGATCTAGTTTGTCCCGCTTTGAGCAGGGGGTTGGACTAGATGACCTCCTGAGCTCCCTTCCAACTCTGACTTTCTATGATTCTATCCCCTGTCTGATATGGGCGAGTCAGACACTGAGGACATGGAAAAGGGAAGGCTTTAGAGCACAAGGCATTTTTTTTCTAAGCGAATGCTATAGTGGAGTGATACAAAAAGTCACTAAAACTGATACCTCTGGCTGATCATGTCCAGCTTCTTTCAGGCACCCATATTATAAGATAAAATCAAATGGAAGCCTCCCAGACCTCTATTTGTCAACTGCCAGTATATTCTGATAACATCACAGTACAGTATATAAAGTACAGTATATAAAACTGTTATTTCCCCAACACTGTGCAAGGAGCATACTCTTCTAAATGAGGAAGCCTTTGAATCCTCTTTCATTGCTTGGAATAGATATTTTCAGAGGTTTCCCCAGCTTTTGGCTTCTCTATGATACTTATCACAAGATAAAAGAGCCCAGTTTCACTTTTATTTATTTATTACTGTTGGATGTGACAGATAAGACTGACATTTACAAATAAATAAAAAATAAAAATGGGGGAGGTTTGCTTTAATCCATCAATTTAAAAATCAGATTTCTAAAGACATCACATTTGTTTTGCTACAAAGAAGGAAATTGGCATGAAAAAGGCATAGAAAGGACTCCAGTGTTACATTCTTTGATACGTGTAAAATATTCAAGCAGGTAGATCTGCCGTCATGCATCAGCACTATTTTTACCAAGCAAAGGTCAAATTTGCATGTTTCAGTGCAAGTTGTCTTTTCAATTAGTTTATTTTTGAAACACACAGCACTTTGAGTATGTGATGCCCTTTAGCCAAATTCTGGGCTTCTAAATCAATTTTCACTCTGGCAAATGCCAGTAGATTTTAATAGTCATTTTGCGTATGTAAATCCTGCCACACTATGCTCCTAAACATGTGCTTTTTCATTTATTTATCATTTTACATATAACTTATCTAATGGGGCTGATGTATGTTAAGACTTCCCTTCATAAATGACACTGACTTGATGGTGGTCTTTCTTTTAACCCTCACTTGACAGTATTTCCAGTCTTTGCCTCTTCTTTTGCTCTATGGTGGCTTATTTGAGACAGCTGAGTTAGAGATGACTGGGTGGTAAAAGGGTTCACTAAATGTTAGCCTTTTATGCAAGCTTCTGCTACTGCATCATAAAGCATCTTCCATCTTAGTCAAGCTTCATTTGGCTGCTTGAACGAGACATTACCTTTTCTAGGAAATAAGAAAACTAAAATCATGTCGCTGCCACAGTTGTGGTGTGCACTTCTCTACAAAAGGAGGAGGTAACATTTGAGAGAGAGAAAAAGGATTTAAACATTTTTCAGTAAAGGGGATTGTGCTTAATAAAGGGTCCCAGTCTTCTCTGGATGAATAGCTCATCTTTTGTGGAGCTGGAGAAAAGCAGCAAGACAAGAGGATGTAGATTAGGCATATTTTTTAATTGAAAGCAGGAATTTTATGCTTTTGGGACTCCTGCTTCACAAATTGACTTGTGTGGCATGGTGATAAAACAGTAAACAGATTTGTGTATTTCAAGTTAATTTTTTAGATAAGTCTTTTGCTTTTATTGTATAAAGTAGCTACTTTTTGTGGCTGTTATCTTGGGGGGAAGCCAGGGTATCAGCTAGCATTCCAGGAAAGTGTTTTGGAAAATGTGAAATATTATTAAACATTGATCTCTCTGATATTGCAGAGTATGGGAGCTCTGGAGGCTTCAGTGGAGCTGTGCCAGTTTACACCAACAAAAAAATATGTCCCTAAACCTATAATAATTTGAAGTTCTGAAAGTACACTCTGTCTCCTCAGTGTGTTAGTCTTTTCTTAACTCAGCAGTTATAGGTAACTATTTTGTATTATTATGCTAGTGTTTGCTTGGAAAGGCTTTCACTTACCATTGTGTTTGGTATAGCACAGGGCAGGGAAACAGTAAATCTCTACACTAATTTTTCATTCACTAGCTGCCCATGGTTGATTTTTCCCAGTGGGCAGAAATCTCACTGCTGTGGAATTGCTGACATAAGGCCTAATTCCACCCTGTATAACACAAGTAAAAGGCCTACTGAAACCAATGGGAATGAAAATAGAATTGGACCTATAAGGTATAGTTAACTAACTCTTTAGTGGATGTTCACTTCCCAAATAGCTTCAACATTGCATTGTCACCCAACATGGCACATGTCCATGCCTTACACCAGAAAATGTTTTATTATAGTGATCTCTGTTATTGGACCAACTATGTACTTGGAAGGGACATGGGCAAAGTTTCAGGTACCGCAGTACCCTTTCTCAGGTATAAAATGCCAGTTATAGCGGCTCAGAATGCTTTATGTGACCTTAGGCAGGCAAGGTTCTTTGGGTAGATGTGATATCTTTTATTAAACCAACTGAGTAGTTGGAAAAAGATTCTTTGCAAGCTTTCAGGTGCAATCGCCCCTCTTCAAGCACAGGAAGTCTCTGCTGTTCAGAGACTCACTTTGACTTAGTTAGCTTCTTACATTCCTATTCAATAGTGCACTTAAAATAGCATGTACAGTTCTGTGGGATGCTGGTTTTCACTAGTTTATATTTTTCTCTTCCTCTGTAAGATGAGACTGTTTCTTGCCCTATAAACCCATGCAGGGAACTGAGAGGACAGAACCATTGGCTATTCCCATTGTGAGAAACAGGCTGTGTCTGTACAAGATGCTGACTGTGCAGTAGCCCATGACTACAGTGCACTAGCGTCACATGGCAGAAAGAGTGATGTGACACTACTGTGCAGTAGTTTTGGGCTACTGTGCAGTCAGCGTCATGAAAAAGCTGCTCAGCAGTGCTACTGTGCAGTAACTCTGGTTACTGCGCAGTCATTTAGTACTTGTTTATACTTGTATAAAAAAAAAGTACTAAATGACTGTGCGGCAACAACTGTGCAGTCAGCATTTCATGTAGACACAGCCACATTGTGGAAGGCAGAGCAGCATCATGAAGCTGTCACACACTCCTGTGCAGGAGGACTGAGGTAGAGGAAAGGATGTAATGTCAATACACCAGCCAGCAGGGATGAGCCAGAGAGAGGCAGAAGTGGATTACTTCTTCTAGGAGAAGAGGAGAACGAAGAAGAAAATTGTGACTTCAGGGTCCAGTCTTTGCTCTTAGGGTAAATTCTCCATCTAGTCTTTAATCAGTAATATGGGGTGCATAATTGCTATGTTGTTATGGCATTATAGATATGAATACAATTCAGTAAGTAATATTGTATGTATGTTTGAATTATATATATATTTCTGTCCTTACAGACTCTCAGACTTAATAGCCAACTAATTGTGGATTTACCATTTTTGTTTTCACAGACAACATCAGCCAATCGGACAAAATATTATGTATCTTACCGTCGTAATAGCTTTGTACAGATGAAACTGCCAAAATATGCATTGCCAAAGGTGAGTGTGGACATTATATTGTTTTTTCCTTGGAAATTTTTTTCCTTTATTCCATTTTTGACCTAGTGCAGGTGGGTTCTGTGCTTTTTAATCCTCAGTATTTTGACATGAGAATTTGTTTCTATAAGGCATCAGATTATTTTACTAAATATTGCTTGCATTATATATTTTTTGTGCATATAGCAGCTCTTATTGCAACTTACTGGGCATGTCTACACATTCATTAATGCGCGGTAGTTACTGCTCATTAAGTTTAGTACTTGTATAACCAAGCACTGAATCAATGCACACTAACTAGCACTACTGCACAATAGTGCCAGCACATGGATTTTTAGAGATGCTTGCTGAGCAGTAACCTAATACTATCATAGTTTTTGCCCTGCATGCTACCTCACAGTAGAATTAGGCTACCGTGCAATTAGCATCTTGTGTAGATGTGCCCACAGGCACAGAGAGCAAAGGTTATTGCAATAGCTCTCCAGCTTTGTTCCCAAGAAGCAACCCTCCAGGGCCAATGACAATGCAGTGATACTGAGTGAATGTTTTTTCAAGAATCAGTTACAGTTTAAATTTCATATGGTGAATATCTTCCACAAGCATGAATGGAAGTATAAGGGAATTGTACCAGCCTACTCTCTATCACTGAAAAAACCTGAGGGCTCTTAGTTACCTATCAGGGTGATGTGGGTGGCAGAGCTAGCTGAGAAATTCCTGCAGCGTGGCATGCTTTTCAGGGCTGCTATATTAGCATAGTACTCTAGCAGTAAAGTAGAGGCATATATTTGCATGCAGTCTAATTGATGCGACTGAGGTTTTGTGGTACACACAGCATGTTCCATAACTTTATGGATAGCTGGGAAGCTTCTGTAATTCTTAAGAAAAATGGGTTAGTTCATTACAGGAGAAACTAACAATTTTTTTTTGTGACTGTTGTAGGTTTAGATCACTACCTTCCTGTTTGTAGGTGGTGAACTGTACTCTGTTTCCTCATATGTCTTTTTTAAATGCAAAGAATATCTTTAAAGGACTTCTTTTCCCAACTTTGATTTTTTTTTTTTTTTTTTTTTACGTTTTCTGATGTCCTGTGGTCTTTTTATGGTAAATATGTAGCATAACAACAAAACCCTCAAATCAAACCATCAGATATTATCTGAACAAGAATGTGGAGCTGCATTCTACTACCATGCATGTTAGTAGTTTAAAAATGCATAGCTAGTCATATGCAAATCAATATGACTTTTACTGGATTATTCGAAATGGCTTTGAAGCAGTTTTTATGGTCTCTTGGGTAATCTGTAATTAGGAAAACAATAAGAGAACATAAAGTTCTAAACATGCCAGAATCAAAGGATTTTGTATCATTTTACAGACAGTTTAATGTGTACTTCATATAAACAAAATGGGAGGATATAATTTGACAGAAATGCTATTTCTGAAATAAATTATACATATTTCTGTCCATTCCTCTAAATGCCTCATCTCATCAGAACTCTTAGTCGATTGGTTTTATTTAGCTTTGCTTGGGCTTATGTTTATTTTTAATTTTTAGTCATTCTGATTTTATTAATGTAATATTTAATAATGGCAAACCCTTGATTTATCAATAAGGTGATGCAGTGAGGAGTCTTCTTTTTGCCTGTAGGGAGCCAGTACAAGAATCTCTGCCATTATTTTAGGCCTTCATCATCATGTATAGTCACCTGCTGTTTTGTGCACATGACCAGTCCTACAGCCTGTCTTAGATTGCTCTTGTGTAAAATGTTTACCTGCATGGCTGGGTGCTCTGTTCTGATGTTTACCTAGAGTCTTTGTTATAAGTGACCCTAGATAAGGACAAGCTATTGTTATTAGCATACAAAATATTATTAATATTACATCAGCAGACAAATATTTAAAGCTTTCAGGATACTGACTTCTTTAATTCATGACTTTTGCTTATAATAAAATGGATGTGTAAGCTTTATCCTCCTTAGTACTGTTATCCAGATTCCAGCTAACCTTGTGGGTAGGCTACAGATAAAAGAGGCAAAACAGGGCTACAGCTCAACCTTTTATTTGCTTGTACTTTAAAATGTAAAAACCAGATGGGGCAACTGACAACTGACGCCCAGGAAAAAGCCAACCTATTAAATAGATACTTTGCGTACGTCTTTCATCAGTCCCATGGGACGCCCATGCCCGCTACGGGACAGGGAAGTCCGGGTGAGGGAGATTCCCTGCCCTCCATTAATGCTGAATTCGTGAAGGAACATCTTGAGAAGCTGGATACCTTCAAGTCAGCCAGCCCTGACAATCTACACCCCAGGGTACTCAAGGAGCTGGCGAGCATCATAGCCCAGCCTCTAGCACGGATCTTTGAAAACTCTTGGCGCTCTGGTGTAGTGCCCAAAGACTGGAAGAAGGCCAATGTGGTGCCTATCTTCAAGAAAGGGAGGAAAGTGGATCCGGCTAACTATAGGCCCATCAGCCTGACTTCTATCCCGGGGAAGATCTTAGAAAAGTTTATTAAAGAGGCCATCCTTAATGGACTGGCCAACACCAACATCTTAAGGGACAGCCAGCACGGGTTTGTTGCGGGTAGGTCTTGCTTGACCAATCTCATTTCCTTCTACAACCAGGTGACCTATCACCTGGACAAGGGAGAAGAGATTGATGTCATATATCTTGACTTCAAAAAAGCCTTCGATCTGGTGTCCCATGATCGCCTCTTGGAGAAACTGGCCAATTGTCGCCTTGGGCCCTCCACGATCCACTGGCTGGAAAATTGGCTCCGGGGTCGGACCCAGAGGGTAGTAATCGATGGAAGTCACTCATCGTGGTGTCCTGTGACCAGTGGGGTCCCCCAAGGCTCTGTCCTTGGACCCATACTGTTCAACATCTTCATTAATGATGTGGACACTGGAGTCAGAAGCGATCAGAACTGGCCAAGTTCGCCGATGACACCAACCTCTGGGGCAAAGCATCCACACCAGAAGACAGGCAGGTTATCCAGGCTGACCTGGACAGGCTCAGCAAGTGGGCGGACGAGAATCTGATGGTGTTCAACGCCAATAAATGCAAGGTGCTCCACCTTGGGGAAAAAAACCCGCAGCATCCTTATAGGCTCGGCAGTGCTATGTTGGCTAGCACTATGGAAGAAAGAGACTTGGGGGTCATCATTGACCACAAGATGAACATGAGCCTGCAATGCGATGCGGCGGCTAGTAAAGCGACCAAAACTCTGGCTTGCATCCATAGATGCTTCTCAAGCAAATCCCGGGACGTCATTCTCCCCCTGTACTCGGCCTTGGTGAGGCCGCAGCTGGAGTACTGTGTCCAGTTTTGGGCTCCACAATTTAAAAAGGATGTGGAGAAGCTTGAGAGAGTCCAGAGAAGAGCCACGCGCATGATCAGAGGTCAGGGAAGCAGACCCTACGATGACAGGCTGAGAGCCCTGGGGCTCTTTAGCCTGAAAAAGCGCAGGCTCAGGGGTGATCTGATGGCCACCTACAAGTTTATCAGGGGTGACCACCAGCATCTGGGGGAACGTTTGTTCACCAGAGCGCCCCAAGGGATGACGAGGTCGAATGGTCACAAACTACTACAAGACCGTTTCAGGCTGGACATAAGGAAGAACTTCTTTACTGTCCGAGCCCCCAAGGTCTGGAACAGTCAAGCGCCTACATTGAACACCTTCAAGAGCAAACTGGATGCTTATCTTGCTGGGATCCTATGACCCCAGCTGACTTCCTGCCCTTTGGGCAGGGAGCTGGACTCGATGATCTTCCGAGGTCCCTTCCAGCCCTAATGTCTATGAAATCTATGAAATTTGAGTTCTCCAAATTTCCCTCCAGCCCATGCCCAATATTTATATATGGCTGGTTCTAATTCTAATAAATGATTTCTGATTCATTTTATTTAAATTTCTTGGTTTCACTGAAACTTTTGGACTTGCACTGAACCAGATCTCTTATGGACTTTGCAGATGCAATTAGTTGGAATTTATATCCTTGGGGAAACTAAAAGGGGAGGTTCCTTATTTCCTTTCCTTCCCCATTTTGAAATGCTGTTCAACACTGGCTTGTTTCTTCTTTACCTTAGTTGATGGTCTTCTCTGACAAGGCTGCTTTTGTTTTTACAAATTATCTAAGCATCTTAACAAAAAATATATCTAATACATTTGGTTACATCAATCACTACTACTAATATTTTAAGATAAAGCTATGATATACAATATTTGGATTATTTAATGTATGGCCGTCTCTTATTAATGTCTACCTTCAGGCCTTGTGCTTTGTTTAGTTGTGTTTAGTTAGACATGTGGATAGCTTCCTGTACTTTGCTGAGCAAGCTAGCTGCCACATCTGCAAAAGTTCATGCTGTGGTCACTCAGAAACAGGCTTTGGGGCTTAGTCACACTTCTACAGCTTGGCTTAGGCCCCTGGAAAATGGGCAAGGCTGGTAGTAGTTTGTCGAACAAACCTGATTTTATTTTTTTGCAGGGATTACAGGTTTGCTTGTTAAAGGTAGATATAATCTATTTTGGAGTTTGTATGGCATTCATCTTAGTGTTATATGACATTCTTATGAAAAATACCCAACATAACATAACCTAATATCAATAAAAAAGCATTACATGGATTAAGAACTGGTTACCTGACAGATCTCAGAAGTACTCGTCAATGGGAAATCATCCACAAATTAGAGTTCTTCAAATGTGGATTAGCAGAGATCACTGCTGGATAAGAGGAATCTCCTAGAATATTGAGACCAGTCCTGGTCCATGCTTTAAAATATGTTGAGAGCATTGAGAGGGTGGCAAAGGGAGCAACAAATATTTTACTTCACAGTGGGTACATCTACATGTGAAATGAATGTGATGCAATGAACTCTGGCACATACTGCGCTGGAGTTTATTGTTCCTGGGCACTCCACTTACACATGTACCTGGGACTGTAACATGTTGAGCTGGGTCAAAGCAGCCCTGGCTGGTAGGAGGCCCAGGGAAGCTTAGCCTGGTA